TTGAGTTACTAAACATTAAGGTGATTCGCTGGACGCCATATTTTGTGTCAGAACGGCATGCGATACATCGCATCAATTGGTTCCATTTTTTCAGCTACTTTACAGATACTGATATCGAAATTGCACTCGAATGCGATATTTTCTCCCTTAAAAAACCACGCCTTTATTACAGTGAATTTCTTTGTTAAAATTGGTAAATGAGTGCTTCAGTCTCCTGACAACAGAATTGCGATCTCAAAATTGGAGAAAAATGACGAGTAGCTGAAAAAATGGAACCAATTGATGCGATATATCGCATACCGTTCTGACACAAAATATGGCGTCCATCGAATCACCTTAAGTTGGGAAGTTATACAAATCAATTGAATTTTTTGTTTTGATGAAGATTTATTAAAAGGATGATCTGAACTCGTCAAGTTAAAATTAGAACTTGTAAAATCAGTAGGTACATTACGTATTGAAAGCAGCCGCTTGGACCTATTTCTGTCAAACGGAACGATGCGCAATACGACGTGAGCCCTGTTAAGCATGTATTCTTACGGGTCTCAGGGCTCATGTCTTAATGCGCATAGTTTCGTTCGGCAGAAATACGTCCAATACAGGAAAATTGCATGAATGAGGAAGAAAGATTAGCAAGCTTTTAAAAAGAAAAAAAAATCAATTCAGTCGAATGAGTTGAAACCATATTACATGCAGGGAGAGCACTTATACTGTAATAAGTAGGTAGTCTATTGCCGATCTGAAGAAAAATAGGAATTAAGAAAACAAAGCTAATGAAGATCTAATGTGAATTAAAGTATATATTATGTGCCAAATTTTTTTTGGAGAAAGTATTTTTTCGGTTTCTAGAAAAATCTCAAGTATATCCGGGAAATTGGTGGGTACGAGGTAAAAACTGAGGTCATTTACGGCCTGGCGCTGGTTGTACTTTAGTTTAGAGGCTCCTAACTGTGAGTCTGTTGTCATGTTAAGTTACTTTAGGTTAGTAGGTTAGGTTAGGTTAGATTAGATTAGGTTAGATTAGATTAGGTTGGGTTAGGTTAGATTAGATTAGGTTGGGTTAGGATAACTACTTCCCTGGTTAAAGAGAGAAGCCCCCAAACTAAAGTTTCACCGATAGTTACACAAATAAGAACTTGCCATCAAAACTCCAGCGTTTTGTTGCGGGGAAATCTGTGCAAATTGAAGGAAAACAATTAATATACTATTAAACCACAGAGTATTAAAAAATTGGGGAGAATAATATGAAATATTATTGATTTCATCGATGAAAAAAAAAAATAAATAAATAAATAAAATACCTATACCTATACTGCTCAGTGAGGAACTGCAATATGGACTTATTTCTGCCAAACGGAACCATGTGCATCATGACGTGAGCCCCGTCATGCATCTATTCTTATGGGTCTCAGGGCTCATGTCTTAATGCACATAGTTCCGTTTGGCAGAAATACGTCCATATGAAACTGGCACGAACGTGATATAGATCAAGTGAAGTAGGATTTTCCAAAGATTTAAAAAATAGAAAAAATTAAATTTAAAAATTGAAAAAATTTGAAAGTAAAAAATAATAAAATTTAAGTGTAAAAAATAAAAATGTGAAAATGTAAAATTTTGAAAGTTTTGTGAACTGATTAAATAATTTAAAAATAGTAAGTATGACTATGATATTATGATGCACTCATGCATAAGATACTTAAATCATGTTGCGATTCCGGTTCATGATTGCGCTGTAGCACTGAAGCACTGAGGTACTGAGGCACTGAAGCACTGAGGCACTGAAGCACTGAGGCACTGAAGCACTGAGGCACTGAAGCACTGAATCACTGAAGCACTAAATCACTGAAGCACTGAAGCACTGAGGCACTAAATCACTGAAGCACTGAACCACTGAACCACTGAAGCACTAAATCACTGAAGCACTGAACCACTGAACCACTACCCTGTATACCCATTGAACCACTCTGCTTACTGATCCACACTGACTTAGTTCTAAGGGTGGGGCTTCCTTTTTATAAGCTCGTGACCTGTTGGTTTGTAGCCACCGTTGCCCCCCCCCCCCCCCCTGCGGACCCCTCGCGGTTGGATGAATTTTAGAAACTATTTCCTTGTTTTCGAGTGGCAGGAATCCCGAAATTACGGAACTTTGGGGAGGGGGCATTCCTTCGTAAACATCATTAGCCAGGTGTGTGTAGGGTCTTTTGTTTAATTGAAGTGGAGGGACCTCACGTGTCAAAAAAATGAGATGTTGTAAAGAAAATATGGGAATCCTTTGTTTTGTTTCTTTAGCGTTCTAGAAACTTCGGGGCTGCGAAACAGTGAAAGAGGCTGACC